GATTTTCAGAGTTGGTGGGAAATGCTATCTAACATGAAGCTTTAGTGTGATAATTTATTAGCTAGAGAATGATCTTAGAATAGGGTTAGTGGATAGATCCGTTAGAATACGGCAGTATGAAAATTGAATAGAAGTTGTCTGTTTGCATAGCAGTGGTTATCAAAAGAGAAAGTCGATGAGCCGAATCGACCAAAGGAGATAGGACCATTTGAAATGTTCATCTTTACCCAACTATTGTGTAACAGCCGCAGACAGTAATGAGCAAAGGCGGGCGCACACTTTTTGCCTGTAGATTTAAAGTCATACTTCAATTCTCCGCGTACATCGTACAGGTTAGGCAAAAGGTGTGCGTATGACTTTCGCATTAATGGCCCTTCGCTCATTTTCAACTTCTATTCAATTTTCATACTGCCGTACTCTAACGGAACTATCCACCTACCCTCTTCTAAAGATCATTCTCTAGCTATTCAATTATCACACTAAAGCATCATGTTAGATAGCATTTCCAACCAACTCTGATTATAATTTATTTTCGAAGCGTCAAATGTAAGTGACAATTTACCAAATGGAAAATGGAACATAGCCTAAGAAGACAATTGAAATTTTCTCTGGATTTTTTATCGAACTAAATACGATTCAATGAATGCTCTTGAAGCATATGATTATAGGTCAACCCAACTTAGAAAGGCGCAGCTACAAAGCAAGATCCTTAGAAGGTGGCTGGAGGATTCCCGGTCTAGGATTTTTTAGGGTTTTAAATTTCTTGAGTTCCCTGGGCATAGAGTATAATTGTATTTTTTTTTTTTCCTTTGGTTTGTTTTTTCCGTCGATCTTGTTTTCCGTGCTGAGCACCAATACTACCGACGTGCCAGGAAGGCAGCTCCCACACCTGGACCCTACCTATCGACCCATCAACTCATGAACCGGGGACCAACGGCTTTACTTCCCATCCGAAGGAAGGCGTGATCAGAGATGTTATGCCTCAGAACATCCCGGCGGCGCCGACTGGGATTGAACCCAGGCCTGCTGGGGTGAGAGGTAATCACGCTTACCACTACACCACCGGCGCCGTTGGAGTATAATTGTAATTGCCACACAATTATACTAATGGAAAAAATGGTACAGGTACCGACAAATATATTCAGGGCTGGCGTAAAGTCCCAGTAGGGACGTAATAATACGAAATAAGAAGAAGAAAAGTAGAGTTCCATGGAATTCAAAAGCAACTCTGAACACATTTCGACAAGCCTAATGATGATATGAATACAATTCTAACACTCCTCGTAATGATCATCTACGGCTAAAAATATCTGAAAATTAATCAAGCAATCAAACAATCAATCAGATAATTCTGAGGAGAGTTCCAATTGAATATGGATAATAATTCCAAAAGATCTTCATATCCTTTATTTAACGTCGTTCTCTGTTCCGCAATTCAGTGCCAATCACCGACGGACACATTGACGGCAATCGAATGTGCAGGAAGGCAGCTTCCACACCTGCGTAGGATATCGCACCCATTCAATACGCATGGGCCGGGACCAATGACCCAGACCCATTGGGATGAGAAAGCAGTAAGGCTTGCCACTACACAACCGGCGCCGGCAGCCAAAAGATCGTGATTCTAAATATAATCTAATAAAACTCTTTGCGGAATTCAGACAATTCTGAGAAAATTTCACATGCAATTCTGATGTGAAATCCAAGGAAATTTTGGAAGAATACTTTCTAAATTCTAAAGGGCATATCCAAAGATTTCTTAGGAATATTTCTAGGAAATTTTACAAAAATTTAAGGAGAGAAGTTAAAGTAAATTCTCGCGAGCATTATAACAAATCCGGAGAACTTCGACATTAGGGCGTAATTGCTTTTGTAAACAAACACTTCATTTGACGCGAATTGAAGCTCAATCTCAAAAACTAACAAGACAAGGAGGTAGATGAATGGTTCCTCTATTATTTGGTATAGTTTGTTCACGAGATTGTTCTTTTATTCGCGAGAAATCAGCGATTGACGTGTTTGTTCACAAATGCAATTACGCCCAAATCTCAAAGATCTCTGGAAATACGAAGATAACTGTAGAGTGAATTTCCAGAATATTTTGGAGCGAATTCCCAAAGTATTCTGCACAGCATTTCAAATCTGTTATAGAGAAACTTTCTAGTTCTTGTTCTGATTGCTTAAGAATAACTATTTGGGAGTGAATAGCTTTCAAATCCGAATTCAGAATAGGAAAAACATGATAATAACCGTTGCTGGCCACGGCCATCTTCATCGTTACGGGGAAAGGAAGGATATTGTTGGTGTAACATCTACTTAACGGTAGGCCAGCGACTCACCGACGCCCTCATAGATGTTATGGAGTTGGATAGTTAAGTAGGAGAGGGGTCAGGCTTCACTTAAGCAGGCGATACGACCATAGTAACTGTTTTATTTTGGAGGAGCTTGGGAGTAAACCCACGATCTTATACTGGGACATAATTTAGTAAAGTTTTTATGAATACTGATAGAAATATAATACAAATATTAAGGAACTCGAACCGAATAATCTGTAATTAGCCAGCCTCCTCGTGATTTCTAAGCTTAAGATCAATAATTGTTCTCCCAAATGGAGCTCCATCTCCTTGATACTGATAATAATAAAACAGGTTTCCCCCGAGGTGGTGGGGTGGGGGGCGTCTATATCTACGATGCAGAAAAAGTTGAGGTTTGCTGTGGTTAGCTGCGCGCACGCTGAGTAGATAGAAAGAAGATTGATGACGATTCTGAAGATTTCCTGCAAAAATATGATGTGCTATGCAAGTAGATGCAAGAAATGAAAGAAAATTTATCGAAGATTGATTCGCTAGTGTGAAATTTGTTGAGCATCCATAATTGAGATTTAGATGTGTCGCCCCCCTCGGTTTCCCCATGCTGGCCTCGGGAAGAAGTGCATCGAAATAAACGCATCGTCATTGCAGCATTGTCACAATGAACCTTACGGATGTTCGCCCACTTGACCCACAATCCCTTTCAGTTCCTCGTTTCCGTTCAGTTCTAACAGCTCCCAATGAACTGCACTTTTAATCCATTATCAGATCTAATAATTTCAATACGCAAAAACACATGTAATCAAGAAACTTCACAATTTGTTAATTCAAAACACATAAACACGGAAGCAAAATTCAAACACGTCACTTCTTCAGCGCGACCTACTTAGATCTCTCGAGAAACTTTCTAGGACATACTGGAGAGAATCATTTATCATTAATTTTATAATATTATTGTGAGGAATCCTGAAATTACCTCTCACGCTAAAGGTCACGAGTTCAAATCTTATCTCCGGATAAGTCAAGAATGACCTAAAATTTATTAAAGTCAGTATAATACAAAAAATAATATTTAAAGCCATTTTATAAATATCCTAAGGAAATCTATAAGAAATTTCCAAAGCTATTCTCATGCTGAGACTTAGTCCATAGAAATAGTTTAGTTAATTCAGAATTTTAAAATTGTACAAGATTTCGTAAACATAAATTCAAGTCCAAGATTAAGAAAAAATCAAGATTCTGATACTATGATTGGTAACAAATTTGAAGATCCTGGTCTAAGAAAACTGTTCAAGATTATGAAACCAGAAATTTCTGAAAAGTGCACCTGTGAGAGGTATGACATCTTGGAGATCCCAAACTGGTAAAAAATCCCCAAATTTTAAAGCTTCTAAAATCAAGAACAATATTCAAAATGTCGGATATCAGCATCAGACATCGAAAAATCATGGCTAAGGACTTATTTAAGAAATCATTTATGAAAATCTTGAACTATTTTGGACTTGACAAATTTCCGAAACTATGTGCAATTGTTGTTTATTTTAAATCTCAGACTTAATATTTGGGGTTCCGTACTAAGGAAAATTTCATCATTCCAAGCACGAAGAAATATAATTAACTTTATTTCCGTTGTCGAGAACCGATGCTGAACCTTTCAGTAAATCAAACTAACACCCACCAAATGCAGGAGACCAAAGTTTACATCGTCGGTAAATGTTTATTTCTCGGGCAGTTTAGCGGCATAAACCGATCATCATGGAATATTCCCTCCTTCACTACTGTTGCAGTAGACTGGCCCAAATTTAGATGGTTGTATTTTTGAACGCCCCCCCCCCAGAATTGTGCCGTTAGGTGAGAAAACCACTTTCTGAAGGTTTCAGCTCGTTTGGCACTTTTGGGCCAGTCTACTGTTGTAGCCATTTAACTCGAAATAAACAAAGATCACGACACAACGATACACTAGGCAGGTATATCCTCGCTTCGCACGCTATCCTTGATGCTCGCAATACAAAACAACACACTGTGTACTGTGTAGATGATGGCACTGAATGAATCACGCAATCCGTTTTCATTATCCGCTTTGTGCACTCCCATCCATCAGAGTTTTGTAAATCCCCTCGAGTCGCGACGGGCACCGTTTTTTTTTCTCCTACAGAACCATATAGAACAACACGAACTGTCACACACCAATACATGAACTTTCCCTTCCTGGCCTCGGCCTGCGATGTGAAAGACAGATGGGTATACGGAAAATCAACCACGCGACATCTTCCCTTTACGCGAGCAAGATCTTATCTATATTTAATGACCCATTTCCTACACCGTGACATTTCGCCATTGACTGTCACACAGTTGCTCGGTACAGCTAATCCCACACATTTCACAAAAGCCATTGACCACGGCGATTCTAGCTATTTACCTTGGTCAATCGACACACGTTGTAGCACTCTTTACGTTCACAATATACTCATTGGAGGTCCGTGCACTCGTTTTTCCACAATCACTTGAACCGTTTCGTCTCACACTCAGCGGCACATAGGTCTCGAAAAGGATCAAACGAACCATCTGCGAGGATATTCCCTTTCCCTTCGCAACGCGTTGTTGCTTTATCGTTGCTAGGGTGGTGGCAAGCGTGCTCTATGGTCGGCAGGAATGGTTGGTGATGAATTTTAGTTTTGTGGTTGGACTTACCTACACAGGCCGGCAACGGTCGGTTCCACGTGTGCTTGGCGGTGCAGACTAGTTCACGACTGGGCTCAGCTGTGTCGGGAAACACATACAAGGGATCACAGACGTACTTTGCTCGGTACTCGCTACGACGGACCAGCGTCATGTGCGGCGGAATCGGCGACGGCAACTCGCAGCCGAGCGCTAAACAGATAGAGAGAGAAAGGGACGAAACGAAAAGAAAAACGATAAGCATAACAGAAGCGGGTATAAGCATAATATGTACCTCTATATTCGATTCAACGGACGGTCAGTGGGGTGGGAAATGTGCAATGTGAGTGAGGGGGGTGTTTTTTGGTGATGGTTATTGCGCGCGTGCGAGAAAAAGACAAACTGATGGTGCAGTTCGGAGCTTTCCGAAGCTGATTGTGGATCGTGCTCGGGTTCGGGTTATGCTGGAACCCGAAGATAATGTATGTAGGGAGCGGTGAAAAGCTACGATACGGGAAATCGGTGGGAAATTGTTCAATTGAATAGCTGCTGCAGCAGGGAATGCTTAGCAGTGCTTCTCCACACTGATAAATTAAACTATTCCCATTTTGCTTGAAATTTAATCAATTTGACATTAAACTCAGTATAATCATATCGAATGATTAAAAATAAATACTCTCTTTCTAAAAACTAATCATCTGATATTAAACTGAGTTTGATCATGGTTGATTAGATGTAAAATTATTTTTTTTTTGAATAAATTTTAATCATTTTTAATTCTATTTTAATAATTTTTGATTGAATTTTAACCTTTTTTGATGGTATATAATATTCAAAAAGAATAAAATTTAATACTGGAAATATTATTTTGAATTAAATCATGCATGACAACTGCCGAAGTTCAGTGTTCACTCGGCTGTCGACAAAAGCAGGCCACTCTTGATGTGTGCCACGCGATCGTCTGTTTTCTCGACAGCAACCATTGTGTGGTCCTCCTCATTGTTCTTCATCAGCAGTTCTTTCAGTCGATGCGTCGTCGACTTTGGAAAGCAACCGTTTCGCGATGAGTGTGTGAGTGCTGTTTTGCGTCCATTGCTGTAATGGACGCGCTCTGACCCTCGTTGGCGTAACCGCCATACAATGTAACTACTGGAAGCGGCTCCAGTTCTGATGGAGGAGGCTTTTTGGATAGCGGAAGATAAAGTGTTTATTGTGTTGTTCCTTTTGACTATAGTTTTAAGATGTATTGTATAGTGACCAAGAATCTTCGGCTCTGTAAAGTTAATTCGTTTGAGCCTTATTAAATAAATTAATAAACAAAAACTACTGCGGAAATAATCATGGCTCGGACTCAATAAGGTGAAGCGAGAATCTGTATACTTTTTAAGCTTTTTTGATTTAATTTATCTTTGAGTGCAGGGATTCTCAAATTACCTGAAAATCGAGGCAATCCTAGGCTGTATTCCATTTCGTGAATTTTCACTTCAATTTGACAGATGAGCATTTCCTAAGAGGAAGAGACGACAATACGGGGGCGAAAACGAACCACTTTTCTGTCAAACGCGAACCAGCTCGTGATTGGCCGATTTGAAATGCGTAAGATAGAGATAGATATATATATATACATATAGAGATAAAAGAGTAAGAAGCCAGTTGTCGCCTTTTCCTTTTAGAGCATTTCCAGCCCAAAACGCTAAAAAAATGTCAGTTTTGTCTCGACTCCTTCCGATTTGAATGAAACATTGCTCACATGCTCGCTGCTGCATGGTTCATCTTAATATTTTTTTTTCAAGAGTAACTTTTGAAAAGGGGTTATTCAAAAAAAAATGGGTTATATATAAAAAAAAATCATAACATGGGATTGATCATTACATCTGAGAAAAAGTTGAAGGTAATAAAAAAGAATAAAGGGTTGTGTCCTAGGTACGACCGCAGTATGACGTAGAACTTCGATAGAACTACGCAAAATTGATATTTATCATGCATTTTTTACCATTATACTTTATCCTAAATTTTTCAAGTATTTCATTGTTTCGATTATGGTTCAAAACTCGCCACAATTCATGTTAGCATAATCATACCACCGTTCATCTTACGCATTAGATAATGTATTTAAATTTAATGCAATGGTTAAGAGTTGACAGAATTTTCCCTACATAACTACATTTAGTTGATCAATGTTGAGCTATTGTTCTGTGATCAATGTGCACTAAATTCGACATCGACATCGACTACAATAGGAACTGACACTATTTCGTCACACATTTGTTGTTGATTTGCACCTTACCTCAAAAACGCCATGCATGCTGTGAGATAAAACAATTCCCAAAAAATACGTTAATTTCTTTCAGTAGCTCCATCGTTAGTTTTAAATTAGGTCTCTGAAGCAGAGAAGAGAGTGAAGGTTGCATTTTATGATAACGCAACAGGCAGTTGTTTTCCCTATCAGAAGCCGGCACTTTAAATATTGAACAAAATGTTGGTTCATATGTCAGAGAAGTAGGGGAGGAAGGGGTATAACGATCATGCGGGGTTTGCACCTCTTTGTTCTCCAACCCTAACATAAAATGATCATGCATCATCATTATGTTGTTTACATCATGTTGATAGAATGATGCAAAATAGAACCCAAGTAACAATTCAAGCGGAACAGTAAGAACAGAAGCTGATTATTGGTTGATTTGAGGGGTGCAAAGCTGATTAACATCAGGATGAACATATAGTTGATTAGTAGTGCATGAAGCAACTTGTATCCCCATAATCCAACCTCAATAAGTTAGCTGATCTTAAGATTGAACAAGCCTTATTTAAGCTTAACACAACTCCACAAATCAGCAATACATTCCACATATTTTGATAGCTTGATTTGTTGAATGTCGTCAGTGTCTGTGTCACTAGTTGCATTTCCGGCGTTTTAGTTTATCTAAATTCACTGCCTACCTTTCTAATTACAAGCAGTGGCAGCAGTAGAGACAAGGAATAGGAGATTTTTCAGGAATATCTCCAGGTAGATGTGGGCTGCGACGACGTCGGAAGTATTAACATTTGTATTCTTGTGTTTTGTCTGTTATTAAATTTGACGTGCTTCAACTTAATGATCATAACTTTTGCAACACATATGCATAAATGGTTCAGTAGATATGGTTGACGTCTGTGAATCAGCGACTGCCGCTTCGAATCCCGAAATGCAAAGGTAATTTTTAGACTTGTATTAACAATATAAATATGTAAATCCAATTAGTCAACAACAAGTTAAATCAGTTCCATATAAATGCATAAGATATGGAGCGGTCTTCCATTATTATTTTTGAAATAAAACTAGAAGGCTGAACAAGGGTTGGAAAAGACTGATATTTAATGCCTTAAAAAGCTTATAATGTATATTACTGTTAAGCTTTTGGCTGATTGAAATCATCAGATTAAGATGTTTAAAAGCTGAACAAAGGTTAACGTGGTCCATGTACATGTACAATTATTCAATCTAAGGCTGAATTAAAAACGATTAACCAACACTTGCTAAGCATCAAATTGTTACCTGGGAATACTGTGACATTTCTCAAATCAAACGTTTGGTTTCTAATAAGTAGGTGCTTTGTACAACAGTACTTGAAAATAAGAGGGATTCAGTCATTGAATTTCAAAGTCAGAGCAAAAGCTCGTGTACCGGTTTTCACCTGTTCAATGTTTTGATAGGTTAAGGTACACAGGGGTGATTTGAAACGGTACGTGTATCTCTTGGCGGAAGTATTATAAATACTGATCTTCAAGAAGTTGAGGAGGAGATCGGTCGACTGAAGAACAACAAAGCAACTGGTGTAGATCAACTACCAAGTGAGCTATTAAAATACGGTGGTGAAGCATTGGCTAGAGCGCTGCACTGGGTAATTGCTAAGATTTGGGAGGAGGAGATATTACCGGAGGAGTGGATGGAAGGTGTCGTATGCTCAATCTACAAAAAGGGCGACAAGTTGGATTGCTGCAACTACCGCGCAATCACACTGCTGAGCGCTGCCTACAAGGTACTCTACCAAATTCTATGCCGCCGCCTGTCACCATTTGCAAGAGAGTTCGTGGGGCAAAACCAGGCGGGATTCATGGGTGCCCGTGCTACCACGGACCAAATTTTCGCGATTCGGGAGGTTCTGCAGAAATGCCGCGAATACAACGTGCCCACACATCATTTGTTCATCGATTTCAAATCCGCATACGACACAATCGATCGAGATCAGCTATGGCAGATTATGCACAAGTACGGATTTCCGGACAAACTGACGCGATTGGTCAAGGTGACGATGGATCGAGTGATGTGCGTTGTTCGAGTATCGGGGACACTCTCGAGTCCCTTTGAATCTCGAAAGGGGTTACGGCAAGGTGATGGACTTTCGTGTCTGCTATTCAACATCGCGTTAGAAGGTGTGATCAGAAGAGCTGGGATAGACACGAGTGGCACGATCTTCAGGAAGTTCATCCAGCTGCTTGGCTTCGCCGATGACATTGACATCATGGCACGGAACTTTGAGACGATGGCGGAAAGGTACATCAGACTGCATGCTGAAGCTTGGCGGATTGGACTTGCCATCAACGCATCAAAGACAAAATACATGAAAGGAAGCGGTTCTAGGGAAGACAATGTTAGCCTCTCACTCCGAGTTCAGATTGACGGTGACGAAATCGAGGTGGTCGATGAGTTCGTGTATTTGGGCTCACTGGTGACCGCCGAAAATGATACCAGCAGAGAAATTCAAATAGGACGCTACGGTCAAATAAAATTCGCCGTCGCACGAAGTTTACTGTCTACAAGACGCTGATTAGACCGGTGGTCCTCTACGGCCACGAGACCTGGTCTATGCTCGTGGAGGACCAACCGCCCTTGGTGTTTTCGAACGGAAGGTGTTGCGTACCATCTACGGTGGAGTACAGATGGATGACGGAACGTGGAGGAGGCGACTGAACCACGAATTGCACCAGCTGCTGGGAGAACCATCCATCGTCCACATTGCAAAAATTGGGCGACTACGGTGGGCTGGGCACGTCGTAAGAATACCGCACGACGACCCAGTGAAAATGGTTCTCGAAAGCGATCCAACAGGAACAAGAAGAAGAGCCGCGCAACAGGCAAGGTGGATCGACCAAGTAGAAGGCGACCTGCGGACCCTTCGCAGACTACGATGCTGGCGAAGTGTGGCCATGGATCGAGTAGAGTGGAGACGAAT